GGATTCACTCCCAAGCTCTCCTGCTAACCTGCCTAACTGCACATTCTTTTTTTTTTTTTTTTTTTTTTTTTTTTTTCAGATTAACCTTACATAAACTTTTCCTGTTTATTACTTCCTTGTTGGTAAAGAGATCCTAGAAAGTGAAGAAATACCTAGTAACATGTCAGAATCTGGGAAAAAAAATCTATACAAAATCATATAAAAATTCTTCAAATAAATCCTTATAAAAGGACCATCATTTGCACAGACTGAAATCCTGTATTAAACAGGTTACCAATTTCCTTTTAGTAATCTCCTTGCAACTGCGCTGACCCTGTATTTTTCACTCTGAGTAGATATTTCCTCCTGGAGTGTAGCACTATGTTAGTGATACTCAAAGCTATAGCTTAAATATGGTGGATCTTTCTTAAGTATAAACATTGTTCAAAGGTTTTTTATTTGATGAAGACTTTTATCTAAAAAGAAAGAGATATAAACAAGAATATGAACAGTATTTTGAAAACAAGAGGACAAAGTGAGGCTATATGGAGGTACGATGCTATGGTACTGCTGCAAGACTCCCAGGGGATGTTTCTTCTTTCCTCTGCTTCTGGGCTGCTGCTCCGGCTTGGATAAGTATCCCCCAAAGGCCCAACTTATAAAGGTTTGGTCACCAGCTTTAGACCTCTGGGAGATGCTGGAATCATCAAAAGGTAGGGGCTAGAGGGAGGTCTCCGAGTCCCCGGGGCAGGTCCATGAGGAAACAGGGAGTACAGGGAAGTCCTTCCTCATGTACAGGGAAACAGGGAGTCCTTCCCTTTTTCACTCTCTGCCCATGACATGAGGTGGCTGACTTTGCTCTGTCAGGTGCTCCTGCCCTGATGCATTGCCTCATGACAAGCCCAAAGCCGTGGGCCAACTGAGCATGGACTGAACCTCCAAAACTGAGAGTCAAAATAGACCTTTATAAGTTGATTAACTCGAGTATCTGCCCTAGTAATGGAAAACTAACTGACACAGCTACTTCAGGGAAGAACAACGATAAAGAGTTGATTAAGACTTGTCGTCACATCATGATTATACCGTCAGGTAATATGACAAATGCTTTTGAACCCTGCGTAATGTTTAACAAATATTTACTAAGTGCTTCTGCAACAACACTAGGGTAGATTTTGGGGATGTATCAGAAACCTAGAGCCCTTGTCAGGAAGTACTGAATGTTCTAGCTCAGAATTACAAATTTCTTTCATTATCTCCTTTAAAATACACTCTACTTCAAAAGCGATTAAGCACTATTATTCAAAGCTAGTTTCTAAAGATGCCACATCTCACAGACTGAGGACGACAGTTAATAACAACTAGAAGTCCCTTTAACCTATCTTTGCTCTATCTTAGGGTCTCCATCCAAGTCAGTCTTACAGCTCTGAGCCCACAATTTGGCATCCCACAGCTGGGAGCCACTCACACCCTAGGATGCTCCTGTGACATACTCTGTACCTCCTAACACCTTTTAAAAGCCAGCAGAGAAGGAAAGGAAGTATAATGAGGAAAGACTATCAGAAATAATCCCAAGGTTATTCAAGTCCAGACTTCTCACTTTAGAGCAGACTATAACCATAAAAAAGACAGACAACTCTCCCACTCTCTTCTTCAGTCATGACTATTATTTAACAGTCCCACAACTGCAGAGAGCAAAAGAAATAGATTAGAGGCCACAGAAGGCTTATCTACACAATGAAAAGGAATTAGCCAACAGAAGTTCTCCAAAAGGAAACACTTCTCTTGACTTCTTTCCTGTTTGACCCCAGATTTGTGCTGTTTGTTACTGTTCTAGGCTTTCCTCAAATGAAAAACAAGCAGGTGATTTGCCAGACTTCCCTGAATAGAAACTATGTTCTTATGCTCCCGTACTGATCAAATGGAGAGTCACAGCAACTAGGAGTAAGAGGAGAGGAGAAGAAGGGACTCTGGGAAGAGAAGAGACAAGTAAATCCTCTGTGGGGCAGTGTCATCCTCGTGACTGAGCCATGATTACTAAAGCATTCCCGCTTATTTGTGCCCACTGTTCCTTCATCATGTTCTCACCTACCTGAAGACAGGAACATCTTAATTTGAATGCATCTACACTCCCACTTCAGACCCTGCTTCTATAGTATTTTCCTTGAATGCTTTTGTAAATAAGACAGAATTCAGAATTCTGAGACTGTTTTTATGTTTCATATCTGATCTTAAAAATACCTATTAGTTTTCTCAAAAGAAAACATAAAAATGATTAACAGACATATGAAAAGTGTCCAATGAGTAGAAAACCACAATGAGATACTGCCTCACCCCTATCAGAATGGCTGTCTTCAGAATAATGAAAAAATAACAAATGCTGCCAAGGATGTGGGGAATGAAGAATCCTTATATATTGTTGGTAAGAATGTAAATTAATACAGGTGTTATGGAGTAACAGTACACAGGTTCCTTAAAAACTAAAAACAGGACTACCCTACTACTCAGCAATCCCATTGCTGGGTATACTATAGCCAAAGGAAATCAAATCAACCTGTCAAAAATACACCTGCATTCCCATGTTCACTGTAGCACTCATCACACAGCTAGGATACAAAATCAACCCAAGTGTCCATTAATCAGCAAATGAATAAGGAAAATGTGGTAAATATATATAACAGAAAACTATTCAGCCATAAAAAGCCAGAAATCCTGTCATTTGCAACAGCACACATGTACCTGGAGCATATTATGTTAAACAAAGTCAGTCACAGAAAGATAAATACTGCATTATCTAACCCATAAGTAAAATCTGAGAAAGTAGCCTTTAAAGAAGTTTGGTATAGAATAATGCTCACCACAACTAGGGATAACAGAGTAGGAGAGGTGAGAAGCTAGCAGATACAATATTATTTTTGATCAAGAGAGTAAATTCTGGTGGTCCACAGTAGCGCAATTCATAACAGCTAAATCCTGGAAACAGCCTGTATGTTCATCAATCGATGGGTAAAGAAAAGTGGTATTTACACACAATGGAGTACTGCTCTGCCATAAAGAAGGATAAATGAGTCATCTGTAGATAAACAGACGTATGTTGAGTCCATAATGTTAAGTGAAATAAATCAGGCACATAAGCTTAAACATCACATTTTCTCACCCACATTATAAACACTCTAAAGTGAAAAGGAAAAGATGGGTAAGAAGAACAGAGAGGGACCCTTCTCAGATGGGAAAGCGATGGAAAGTGCAGCGGGGCAGGATAAGGGAATGAAAAGGGAGTTAGGATGTGCTGTGTGCTTGCACCGGCTCCACACCAGGGACACGGACACTGTGTGCTGCAAACATGTACCAATAAAGAAAGTGGAGAGAATAATTTTCACTTTTTAAAAATGTATTATATATTTCAATATTTAAGAAATTTCAATCAAGAAATGAAAAAAGTTTAAAGTGTAATTACCCTAAGGTGATACTACCTAATGCACACGTGAGTCAAAACAGCACATGGGACCTCATAAATATGCACAGATACCTGTGTCAATCAAGCTAATAAAAATACCTATTGGTTTTTCAGCTATGCTTGAGATTTGGTCTAAATGTTATTATAAGTGAAAACACATGTATTCTCTAGACATGTTAGAGTACTTGAAAAATGAATTGCACTAGCATATTTTTTAACCTTGCCTATCTTATATTAAACTGTTTAAGCTTTCAGTCCTACTTAAGTTTCCTGTTTCACTCTATGAATAGGATAAAAGCACATTTGAAGAAAATAAAATTCTATAATCAACTATAATATGGGTTAATTAAATACTAAACAACTATATATCTTGTTTGTAGTCAAGACTCCATTTTGAAACACATTTATAACAACTGAAATACTTCCACCTTGAAATATATCTATAAAATCTCAGCTAAAGCAAAATTATGATTAAAAAAAAACAGATAAACAATACACTGCATGTGTGCCCCTTGTACAACTTGCAAACTATCCTAGTTACACTTCCTCTGTCATAAATAGCTTCCTACATACATTTGTCCAAATGACATTTTTTACTCTAATAAATGTCCAAGATGCAAATGATTACTAAAGGGGTAGATAAACTATCATCAGAAAGCCAGTCAGAAGATACAATTTTTGCTGTTCCTGGTTTTTACTAAGGTGGTGAGACATTTACGATTTCACAGATTTCTAAGTAGCTAAAGGATTAGTATGGCTTAATTAAAACAGAAAGTTAGCATTTATTTTTTGCATTTATCAAAACTAAGGCATTTTCTTCCATTTTATAGGGGAGCAATTCTGTACGATAATCACTGCCAGTATCTTATAAAATTTTTCCAAAGACCAACTTCTAGAAGAAAGAATAATACATATCACTTCACAAAGCAGAGTATGGTTCTAATATTGAAAACACTAAGATGTACCACTTGATGATTTATAACGAGTCTCACCAGGTGTGGTGGCACACGCCTGTAATACCAGCACTCAGAAGGCTGAGACAGGAGGATCACTGGGAGTTCGAGACCAGCCTACGCTATAAGCTAAGTTCAAGGCCTGCCTGAACTGCAGAGTGAGACCCTCTCTCAAAAAGACAAAAATAAATCTGTAATGAGTTCAACTGGATTCTGAAAGGACTTCAGGTATGTACACTATAAAACTGACTAGTAAAATAGCGAGGTCCAAAATGATGGGATATATTATTTTATCAAGAACCCAGAGAATTTGGTTTTTTGAAAACAAGGATGAATGTTGAAACTTGTATTAAAGTAGATCTATATCAAAAGAATCCATATTTTGTTCTTAAACTTAACCTGAAATTGGAACAATATCTTATACATACAATATTTTATCCATAAATTCATAGATGTTCTCTGAGAATTATGAAGTTCTAGATTACATAAAGAAATTACAGTAAAAACTTTAAAAATTTAAGTTATAAATCTAAAACCATACCTCTATCATCAAATCTTGTGATAAATGATACCTATAAACTAAAACTAAGAGTAATAAACTCATGCACACTTACCACACATCCTGGGGGAGATTTAAAGTTATGCTGCCTTTGATTTTGTCACGAAAGCACATGTACCCTAAGGTAGCCAGTGTCACATACAAAGCCGTGACGATCCCCATACCAATGTTCAGTGCTTGAGGAAAGCGCTTCGCTTCTTTCATTTGGTTTTCCAGTGGAAGGACCTAAGGAATTTTTAAATGGAACATGATAGCAGTATTTCAAAATAACATAGTATCTCATTTATACAATTGGCCTTTATACACTACATACGCAAACTATTTTTTCCTTAACACATGATCATTGTTAAAGTGTTTTTCTATGTGCTATGTTTTTTATACTATACATTTTTAAATTCTTAAAAAGATTTAAAATTCAGCTCGTGGCTGATTGGCAAACCTGTTCTTCTTTTAAGTACACTTTTATTTTGCAATAAATTTAGATTTACAGAAAGGTTACAAAGATAACACAAAGAGTGTCTATGTACCCCTGACCTAATTTCCCTTTCTGTTAACATTTGACACTGCCATGGTACATTTGTCACAACTACAAACCAGCACTGATGCATTAACTGAACTCCAAAGTTCATCTGGGTTTCACTTGCTTTTCCATTTCTTTTTCTTTCTAGGGTCCTATCCAGAAGGCCACATGGCATTCTGTCACCTTGCTTAGTCTCCTCTAGTCTGTGACCGTTTCTCAATTCTTTCATTGTTGTTCATTATCTCGACACTTTCAGCAGTGTTGTTCAGTATTTTGCATAATATTCCTCTATTTATGTTTGTCTAATGCTATGCTTGTGACTAGACTGGGTTACTGGTTTTGGAGAAGGGAAGCACCCTTCTCATCACACGTTATCATAATGATTTATGATTGATGACTTTCATTTTGATAGTTTCGTTACATTATTTTGCCAGGTTTTTCTACCATAAAGTTACTTTTCTTCCCCTCCATCATACTCTTTGCTGAAAGCACATCCCTAAATCTAGACCAAGGACTAAGGAATAATTAACTACATTTCCTGAAGGGAAGAGTCACAGGAAAGTATTTGGGAGTCTTCCCTAAGTATTTATTGGTTTAATGATTTATTTACATTAGCATGGACTTAGATTTGTTTTATACTTTAAGTTATAACTCACTACTCTGTCATGCATTTTGTTACTCAGAAAGTCAGCCATTTTTCTCAAGAGAACTTTGGCTGTATTGCTGGAGAATGATATTAGTCTGAGTGCTAGCTGCGCTTGGTGCTGCCACAGTATCACTGCTTCTCGGGCCTCTCAGGAGACAGAGCTAGGAAATATACACATGTACACTAACGCATGTATACACACATCTATAACTGTTTGTCTAGTCACCTATATCTGTCAATTACAATTAAGATTAAATGATTATTTCTATTGTGTATAAAAAAGAACTTTTAAAAAAATAAAAAGATTAATTGAAAAACACAAGTTTTTAAGGCTAATACTTGGAGGCTTTGACCATACATTAGTAACAGAAAATAAAGCAGGGGTCAGTTGTGGCTGCTGGGGAGACAACCCACACCTAAAATGTAGGGCTGTGGTCAGGACTGCTGTCAGTGCAGCTAGAAAAGGAGAAAAGGAAGGAATTAACCTTTGTGGAGCTTGACCTGTGCTGCACAGCATGGCTGGCATCGAGTAGACGTGAGAATATGAAGGAAGACTCGGCCTGAGTTCCTGCTTGCAAGGGGCAAGCAGGGACAGAGTACAGAGAACCACTCCAACATTCCAAGGGGCTGAAAGCAAGACTAACAGGCAAGGGAAATAAAACTGAAGTTCGGTTTAGATGAGAAACTGTAAGTCAGACTTTGGAATTGTTGATTTCGAGATGTCAGAGAAACAACACTTCACTAGAAATTTGTAATAATTAACTAGAACCTGGAACTCAATAGTTAAAGACAAATTAAAATCTGCAGTTACGTCCACAGTAGTAATAAGAAGAGCTGTAAGAACTTGCAAGAATTCTCTAAAGGATAATTCAGAGAACAAAAACCCAAGTAAAATGGTATAAAACTGTCTTTCAGACCTATTTTATCTGGGGATCATGAAAATAGATGTTTAAATTATTCTGCTTCCATACCAAACCATCAGGCCCTGAAACATAAGCTATCAAACAGAACAGAGAGAAATACTCTATTTCCCCAGGTCTACAAATTCTAGGCCATAAATAAACTGGAAGCATCCTGAATAGAAATATTTATGATTTTAAGATCTTTAAGATGTTTATATCTCTCGGCACTACTCAAACATGATATGCACAAATATAAAGGGAAATTTTTTGTATTTTTTATATAATAATAATTTTGTAACTATTTCAATTCCGTTCAAACAGTCTAGTTCATAACATACGATGTCTGACATGTGCTTGAACATGTGTGTTGGAGATAAAACTGTATAAATCTTTCTTGATTTAAGACTTTAGCAAATAATAATAAAGTCTAATTCTTACCACTCCTATGCCTTCAAAAGCAAATACCGCAGTACCAAAAAAGAGCGGGTATTTTTTCCAACCAGCCACTATTGGAAGGTTGTGGGGATCTGGCATGTTCTGCAAAACAGAAAAAAATAAGATTATATGTCTTTGTTTATTTTAAGGGACTTAAAATAAAACAGTAAAATCACACTCTTTTGAGCTTCACAGCAAGTATGTTATAGAAGTGAATATTTTTTCAATAAACACTTTAGGCATCTTATGTTAAATACAGCTAAGCTGTTAGGATTTAATTGCCAAAGCAGCTGTGTCCTCCTTCTCACACATTCCATCAAATGCAATGCTCCTGATCACCTGTTTCCACCTGCAAGCACCAGACTGCACCAATTGGGTGTGGCTCCCCCTACAACAGGAAATATATGAGCCACTCTGGTCTAAGCTGAGAGCTGTGTAATCAGTTATCAACCACAGTTGTTTGTGCTCAACAAAAATTCATTCTCCCACCCTCTAGTCATTTTTCCTTTAATAAGACACCTATGCTTCGCCACTTTGGCTTTCTATTTTACAGCTCTGCTGCTCTATAGTACCAGCCTTTTCTGGTCTCAGTGTTGACTGTGACCTGAGAGTTGTCACTGCTCTTACTATTTATGACCTGACTTTGGCTTTGATCATACTTGGCCCTCACCTCTTTCATCTGCAGCGTATCTTTTTCAAGATTTCTGACCCCACAATAACCACTTTTTCCAAATACCCCACGTCTGGTCCCTACTTTCTCACCAGGGTGTTTTTCCTGCCTCAGGTGACTGAAGTAGAATTCAAGGCCAAGGAAAGATAACGAACAAAGCAATTAAGTATGAAAGCACATGGGTAATTTGAGGAGCAGAGATGACTGGCCCATCTGAAGCACACGCACAACTTTTGATGTAAAGGTGATATGTGACTAAAAACATGGGTGAGAGTCAAAGTGAAAAGGGTATTCAAGAATTTGGACCCTGTGATACTACTAAACTGATATTCAAGGCAAGCAAGAAACTACTTGATTTCTCCATGCAACAGTTCATGCTGTTCCCTCTACTTAGGGAATCATCTTTTCTACTCCACTAAGGCTTACATGTTCCACTAAGGGCTGCTCAACTCCAGAGAGCCTCATGTTATCATCTTGTTTGTCCCCTTACATTCTTTTGTGCTATGAGAAAGAATATATGTTTGGAATTCAGAGAGGAGCAATCCAAAACCCAGAGCCACAGTGAGAGTCCACGATGAAATGTCAAGCAAGCCTTTACAATAATTACTGTGGAAGCAATGTGTAAAATGGATTGGCGCGGGGGGAACGGGGATTCTCAATCTTTTTTTTAGGTAACTGGCTCCTCTGAAAGGTGAAATACAGCTACTCAGCAAAAGAAAATGTACAACACATACAGAAATCTAAATCTTACAAATAAAAAGGTTACATAGATTCCCCGAATCCCAAGAGGTTTTTCAGAAGTAATTGGGTTAAGAATTTCCAGAATATGGCCAGATGTGGTGATGCATGCCTATAATCCCAGCACTCAGGAGGCAGAGGCAGGAGGATCATCATGAGTTTAAGGTCAACCTGGGCTACATAGTGAGCTCAAGGCCAGCCTCAACTACACAGTGAATCCCCTGTCTCAAAAAACAAAAACAAAAATCTCCAGAATATGGACAATGAAATTAGTTTGAGTTATTGCATATATTTCAAATAAAGGATATAGACTTGTATAGTAACAGTAGATTAAAGCAACAGCAGCAAATAAAAGTTTAAAAGTAAAACAAAATTACAGAATGATATACATATCCACCCCTGTGGCTGACAGAAATTTTAAACAAACAATATGCATAATGAGCTATATCCTGTGAGAAACTCTACCAAGAGCACAAATCTCACAACTATGACAGGTACTACTCTTTATGAAGCAGTGCCACTAAAGCCAGAGACATGCTCTACAAGACTCAAAACCAGCCCTGACTGTAAAGCCTGTGCTTGTCATCTCCATGTCACATTCTTTTCTAAACATCTCCCCAAAAAGCCAAAGTTTACTGTTTATCTTCCATGTGCCATACATATAGTACGAGTTTTTATATATTATTTTCACCTCCAAAGTAAACAAACTTTTATAGAGGAACATTAGTTTAAAACATACTTACCCTAACAACATATTGATAAATTATCACAAGACTGACAGCCATGGAAACATTGGCAAGGAATGAAAGTACAAACAGATTCTTTAGCTCACGAATGAAGACCAAAAGAATTATAAATGGAAGAAAATAAAGCATATATATCCTTAGGTCAACACTTCTCCTCTCACATGGAGTTGATGAATTGGTATTATTCGAAATAAACACTTTACTCTCCAGGAATCCTTCATGAACCTACATAGAATTACCAGGGGAATAAGGAAGGAAGGGGAAAATCCATCAGTTTACAATCAGACAAGAGATAATATCAATAAAATTACACAATCTATTCTATGATAAATTCCTATGACATATTTGATAACAATGTATTGACATTTTTTCAAGATATTCTGGTTTCCTAAAAACGTTTTTCAAATATAAGGATAACTAAGATAAATAATGTTCTTTGCAAGATAATTTATTTTACTGTACTGTGAAAATAAAATTCAACAGAAAATTATGAGGACACGTTTACCAATTTATTGTGAAGCCTTGTGACTGTCATGCTCCTAATCCCTAAAATAACTCTGAGATCTTTTTCTGACATCAGCAAAGCTGGACAGACACTTACTTAGAATGGTGTTAGTTATTCTGCTCCATTCTGCTCCAGCTTACTTTCTTCAGAGTAGGAAATACCCACTACATATCTCTCAGAAGTGTATAGTAGAAATGGTAATATTTAAAAATCATAGCCTAAATAAAAATTTATATAAAAGAACTATTCATAAATTATCTTCATTATTAATAATTACTAAGAACCCATTAAGTTGAGGCCTAACCATATGTTAGTAGATAATTTCATGATGGCAGAAAACTTCTATAAGATAAATGAATTTTACCTTAAAATTTATTCACCTACGTCTATAACCCAATTTTTCAAATTTCAAAATATAATTATTTACAGGCTCCATATATTAAAAACTGTCTGATTCAACTAATCACGCAATCCAACTTACTAAAATGGAAGTAAAATTACCAAAAACTTTAGAAAGAACCATAAGAATTTATAGTTCAGGCAAGTCCTCCCATAATTTAAATACCAGTGAAAACGTATATGTCCCCTCAAACACTGTACCCTCCTCAGACACACTGTATTACCAAGTCTCCAAACACACAGTATTCTAACAGACGCATGCTAGTAACAACCAGCGTTTTTAGCACCTTCTATGGACCAGATACTGAACTACATGTTTTACATAATTAATCCAATTTGCTCCTCCAAGTGACTCTCAGAAGCAGGGTACAGTTTTAATTTCAATTTAAACCTGAGGAAACTAGAGGGGGAATAAATAGATACATAATACAGAACCAGTGGACAGTGGTTCTAAGATTCAAATTTCAGGCCTGAGACTTGTAAGAGCTACATGTTACCCTCACCAAAATATTGCAACCCAGAGAGGGTTGTTCTGCCCAACAGCCATCTGCCCTCCACTTGGACCTTTCTTTGAATGTAGTAAATATTAAGAGGATGACAAGATGGAAGTTTAAAACAAAATCTTGATGTTGATTTTGTTAGTAATCCAAATATTTCTTTTACTTTAATTCTGTACTTATAAACTATGATAAGCAACGTTATTTTCACTAGAAAAATATAAATCATCTTAAATGGTAGGGAATTTACTAAATGTTTAAGATATAGAGGCTATTTATCAACTCAAAATGGACTAAAAATCTCTCAAGTTATACCATGCACCATTTAAGAAATGCATAGCTCACCATTATCTTGTAACTGGCCATCAAAACAGTAATTTCTATAATGTGAAGTTGAGGCAAAATTGGTAATTTATATCATGTGTCTTTTAAAAAGATATTTCATTGTTGCCTCAATTTTCTCCATAACCAAATTATTAGATTAGGTAACAGTCAAACTTAAGCTCTAGCAAGAATTCCTGGCAAAAGAAAAGCAGTTATATAAACAAATTTTAAAGTGCTATTTGAATTATTAGGTCATTGGGAATTTATAATTAATTCTATCACAAACATCTAATAATATTTTAGCATTCTCTGCCAGAAAGATGGCTATAAAAATTCTCAAGACTAAAAAATACAGTAAAAGAAAAAATGTAGACACATACCTAGACCAAGATTCAGGTAAACATTTGAGTCCTTTGGTGCCCTCTAGAGGCAGAAATGGGCTATCTAATAGGACTTCCTACAGTCTCACATATTTACCAAAGTGTGAAACACTGGAATAAGTATTATAAAATAAAATTACTAAATTCAGTTGTTCCCATTTAGAGCTCACATTTACTAAAATCCACTACTTAATGACTTTTCGACTCAGTAATTTAATGATTAAAATTCCCAAGGGCAGATTCGAAGTCATAATCCCTATATTTGAATACTGTTTTACATCTTACAAAGGCTTTCACAATCATTTTATCACCTGAGCCTCATAAGTTTGTGAGGAATAAGGGAAGATTTTGTTACTATTCTTATTTTACAAATAAGGAAACTGAGCCTTGAACAAGGATGAAGACATCTTATCCATTAAGTTAAAAACTGAGAGCAGGGATTTGAATTTATATGTTCCGACTCTTATCAGAATTTCTTCCCTGTTACAGTCATATTTCTTCCCTAAGATCCAAACTCACATACACTACTTTATGTGAAACTTTCTAGAGTCGCTTCAGTTAAGAGCAGAAGACAGCTTCTAGAACCCTCACACCCAGACTCCAGAGAAGCACGAGGGCTCCCTCTCCCTGCTGTTCATGATGACCTAGGGAGAATGAAGACTGTCATGCTGTAGCTGCAGACTGGGTTCCCACGTGCAAGGCAACTAAACCTTTAATTCTCTGGGTTAATGAAACACTGCACAGTTGATTTCATGTATATTAAGGCAGTAAAAATCCCATAGTTTTTAACTATAAAATTTATTGGAGTTTAATTAACCAATGCATGCACTATTATTATGTAGTGCTATAAAATGTAAAAGAATCTCTGCAGAGAAAGTGAAATTCACTGACCTGATTCTGCCTCAATAACCATTTACATGCTCTACCCAGGTGATGTGTTTCATCATTGCTTTCCACTATTTTTAAAGCCTGACTAAATGACTTTGTCCATGTTGCTCTTTATGTCTCCAAGGGACTTTCATATTCTATCCATAGCAAGACTACTCTATCTTCCAGAGAGTCACTTTTTCTACCTCAGCTTCTCGGGATATCTGCAAATGAATTAAACTTTTCCATTCAACTTTGAAAGAAACTGATACTGTTTCATAGAAGCCTTTAGACATTTATTTTCTCCACTTTTCTACTCTTTACATCACACACACACACAACTAGACAGTATCCTGCTCAGTAACAAATGATTAACATACTGGGTGGCAATTGTGAAAGCAACGTAGGTTTCAGCCTATTTCCACATAACTTAGGGCACATTATCATAGTTTGTGAAACTGCTTCATGAAGAGCATATTATTTACTTTACAATGTAAATGGTAAACACTAAGTTTTAGAATTATAAACATTTACAATGTAATGGTAAACACTAAGTTTTAGAATTATAAACCATTATCAGTACTTCTAGATTCTTATGGAGCTTGTTGGGTAGACGTTTTAGAAGATATTAGAAAAGATGAGTACCACCACGATACACAGTCCTAGGGAGGTGTTTTTTCACCATATTCTACATCCATGACTGGTTGGATGATATGTCTTATCAGTTCTTGACCATAAACAGCCTCATGATGGGTTAGGAATGCTAGGAATATGCAATTTATAGAGTTAAATACTTGTAAACTCCGAAGAACACCATCTCTAAGAGGTAAAGCTAATGAAAGCACTGACACTACTTTGGTAAGAGTGTAAACAGTACTGTAATTGCTAACTATTGTACTTTTCTATCAACACCACATCTCTCATCTCTATGTGCTTCTGCTAAAGTCCTTCACTTATTATTCTACAACATGTTGAAGGAACACCCCTAACTAAAAGAATAAAAGTGAATGATGGATGTTTATTTCAGAAAATTTGTCTCATGAGAACTTAGTAATTTGCAAGTATCTGGAGAAAGACAGGACAGAAGAAATAGTTTAGAAGCCAGATATTTGCAAAAATAAAAATAAAATGAGGCTAAAAAAAAATTAGATAATTTATTGGAACTGTCAGATGAAGATGACATCTGAGAGCATCCTAGCTAAAACTATCAACAATCACAACGCTAATTTCTTGACACTATTACTTTCTAAGATTTGGAAAGATATACAATGAAAGTGAGAAACCAAGATAAACCAATCACGTACAGGCTGTAAGAAAAGGGTTGACAAAAAAATTGGTGAGGGCTGGGGATTTAGCTCAGTGGCACAGTGCCTGCCTGGCAAACGCAAGGTCGTGAGTTCGATTCCCGGTACCAGGAGAAAAAAAAAAAAAAAAAACCTGGTGAGAAGGGTGTGTGAATAAGAATCACAGCAATGAAAGTGGGGAAGATACTGCCAGTGGGGAAAATCAAGCGGAAGGGTTACATTCAGTTAATAAAGCTTTATTGAATACTTTTTCAATAAACCAGGTACAACAGTAGGTCTAAGAAATACTGAGATGAAAAATAAAAAAATCCTCCCAGTCTACAGAGTTTACTTATCTTTCAACCCACTAACCATATTAGGTCCCTGCAACCCAGGCACTCTTAGAGGCTATTTTACAGTGGTGAACACAACAGATACAATGGTTCCCTCATGAGACTTGCTACCTACTGATGAAAATTAACTCGTAAACTAGCTTGAATATGCTGATCAAGCTCAGAACAATTAACAGTAAAGCTAAGTTTGAAACTTTGCCAGACATACACAATAAACTTTTATAGATGCTGAGATATGGCACACCAGACAGAACACTGATCTTGCAATCCAAGCTCTAATTACTAACTGATGCCCTGTAAGAGAATCCCCTTATTTCTATGAGTGTGATGAGTTCTTTCAACATGGAACATCTAAGTCTGTGACTTAAAAGTAGTGATATACAGGGACAGCTGAAATCATGAGTTATCAAACTGCAGCCTGCAGGCCAAATATAGCCCAACCTGTATTTTTACAAATAAAATTTTATTGGAGTACAACCATATTGACTTGTTTACATATAATTGTTTACGGCTGAGTTGAAGAGTTGCAACAGATACCATATGGCCTGCGAAGCAGGAAATACTTATTTTATGACCCTTTACAGAAAGTGTTTGCCAATTCTTGGTCTTAATAAAAAATAAAACATATTTTATACTTAGAAAAGAAAGTGAAATATAGATATAAATAATTCTTTAGAAAACATGTATGCATCATTATTTTGCATTAAAACATATATAAGTCAATTTTACATATTACTGTGTATAAAGTTTATTGTACTACATACATTTGGATAATTAATAAACGTTACTGACTAAAATAATGACAAAAGAAAGGCAGGGAGTAACAAAAGATCACTAGTACCCATCATAAAAAAAATGTGCCCTGGCACTGTTTTGATAGAAGTTTTTATTTCAGTGCCTGTGTATATGTCCAAATAGACTGCTGATTTCTAAACCAAGGCTCCAAACCACTTCCTCAAAAGCAAACGTGCATATATGGAAAAATTACAAAAACACTATCCATTTTTGAACTGAGTATCTTTTTAACAACGGAATAATTTGTTGAATTTTAGTAATGAATGCTCACTTTATAACCTCATTTTTAAGCTACTGGTTAAACCCACATATAAATTACATGTATGCAGACATACAAACATATAACATATATAAAACATCAATGTAAAGAACATGCACTCAAATTACCTATGAATATACTTCTGAGATCTAAGTTTGAAGTAACAAAAAATCAGTAAGATATCATGTTCAGAGCTGCAAAAACAGGCATTATGGATATTATGGCAAAACAATAATAGCAAAAATCAAATCTGCAAAGAGAAGTCAGGAAAGCAAACCTGTACAGGGGGATCATGTATAAGAGGAATGTATTTCATATTCAACCACAGCATTCACAGACAAATATAATAGTATACACAGGCACTATAAGAAAATGATTGTGCTAACTGGATAAAAATACTCACTTGCTTCACATTTTCAGCTAGGAAGACAATATAGACACTGCAGAATCCCAACTGTGTTATCACCAGAAAAAAGTCAACCACAGTCCTAAAGGAAAATATCCACAAGTAAGTACCAACAAAAGCTGGTGAAACATCAATATATTTTCCCTTTTAAATGTTTTAAAACATTTTATAATTATTTTTTACTTCTTTAAATAAAAAAATTAGAAATTTTACTTCCTGTAAAGATCATGCACCTATGATCAGTATGTAACTAGAATTGCTAAGAGCACAATCATGCTCCATTAATTAAAAGAGTAAGATTTTTACACCATTACCTTTTTCTAAAATTAAAGTTTAAGCTTAAACTATTTCACTAACACTTTATGAAGACTTTATGAAGAATATTTCATTTAGATTAAGCCCATCTCTACTACTTCTCAAGACATTTTTCATACAATCTCAGTGTATTTTCCACCTTATTCCAACTTCATGTTATTTTCAAATATGAGGAGCATGTTCCCTACTAATAAGAATACAGAATGAAAGAGGAATGGGGCAATGGCCCTAAATCATGCCACAAGGGATCTGTCCAGTAGCTTTTCTCTCTTATTTTTTAGTGAGATGCTCAAGAAAATTTCAGCTTCATAAAATGGTGACACATAAAGAATACCACCAGACACATCAAAGTGACACTTTAATGTAGCAGATTTCAAGTTACATAGCTGCCTACATGTTACTAATACACATCCCACGCTGCTTTGTTCAGGTTTGGAAACAACGAGTGACTCATGTGCACTTACTAATTCACTGTGGACTCTTGTTTGAACATCAGTGTTATGGTTTGTGTGTGGATGTTCCCCCAAAGCCTCATGCAGTTTTAGATGGGGTGTTTTCAGAGGTGGCTGAATCTAGAGTGGGTGATTGATTCATAGTGCAATGCTGGGATTAAGGGTGTGAGTGTTACACCTGGCTTATTGTCATTCTCTCTGTCTCTCTCTGTCTCTGTCTCTCTCTGTCTCTCTCTCTGTCTCTCTCTCTGTCTCTCTCTCTGTCTCTCTCTCTGTCTCTCTCTCTGTCTCTCTCTCTGTCTCTCTCTCTCTCTCGTTGCTTTTGTTGTTTTCTGCCACCATAAACTGTTGCCCCTCTGCCATGTGCCACTCTCCTTTGGAGCCAGCCAATTATGGACTGAAGCCTTTATAAACCTGTGAGCTGAGTAAACCTCTCTCTGTTAACTCTTGTGAGCACTGGATATTTTGTCTCAGAGATGAGAAAAGTAACTAACACAGTGTCAGTGACATGGTCTTCAAAATCTACAGACCCTCCTTCTGAAATGGGAAGGCCTCTGCCTATTTTCATTCTTGCTATCATTACTATTGTCCATGATTATTCAGGGATCTTGTTTGTAAGTTATCTTGCTACCCTAAAAGGAATTCAACTTTCTTTTATCTAATGAGTTATATGTTGGCATTTAAGTACTCCCTTATCTTTTCATCCATCTTTCAATGTCCCACTACCAATCATTCCACCACTTCTATCTGAAAGCCATTCTTCACAGAAAAAGCAGGAAAAGCTGCTTGTAATCTGGGGCAAAAGAAAAATAAGAATTTGTGCAATACGTTCTGGGGGTAGGTCCCTAAGGTGTTTGTTAGGTTCTACTTCCTTCCTTCTACTCTGTTTATCAGGAGCTTTGATATCTTCATAAATAAATATTCCCAGAAGGCCATCTTTAACTATAAACTATTTCACTAACACTGTTCCTTCTTCTTCTAATTCCCACTGCACACATCATTTGTACCTTAGTTAGCACTCTGTCGATGGCTTATACTTCCTTATTTTCTATTTCTGTGCTCATCTTGCTTAGCTTCAACATATCCACTGATGAGAAAGTTACATCTACATAACAAGGCAATAACGTAAGCCTGTGCTAAAAAACAGATACCTCAGATATCTAATAGCACGTAGCACAACTATAAAGCACAACTTTATTTAATGAAACTGCAACATTTTCATTTCTTCACTTAAAAAGTTATTGAACATGACCATGTCATTGGATGACCAGATGCTTTATAAATGTAATTTTATTTAATTTACTTTAACATTTCTCTGAAGTATTACTAATTCATTAAATAGTGAGAAATGCAAACCAAATTGATGATTAATTTGATGCCCATTGTGAAAGAGAAAATTTGAAGGGCTGAGGCTTGAACCTAATTCTAACTCTAAAGGTTATCTATTTGATCTTCTCAACTTTACCATGCCATTACTTAGGTGTTTTATCAGATTAAAATATTTAAAATAATATAAATTAATATAACTTCACAACTGATATTAGAAACAGAAAGTACTTAACCGTCCCCATGCCGCTTGCTTCTGGAGACAACTCCAAGGACTGACTTCCATAGCAAAGCTCACAGTGTCACTATAACCTAAAGTTGACTTCTTAAACCTGTAATTTAATGACATATACACACAGTAAAAAGAAAAATGTTAAGTTGGTCCACGAAACCATTCCTTGAAAAGAAAATCAAATAAATGTGAATCAATAAATGCAGCCTATATGTTAACAGATTCATTTTCAAAATTTGAAGATCTGTATACTCCTAAACATGCCTCATGAAATTTTAAAACTTTACCTGTCCTTTTCACCAGGCTATTAATTTTGATTTACTACTTAAACTTATTATCTATAGAATTTAAAGCATTTGTACTTTTCTGATCAAATACCTAAAATCATCAACTATATAGTTCACATCTAAATTATTCTTTTTAGAATTATTTAACATTGCATTTGTATAGGGCTCTGTAATATACTTTCAAATAAACTATCTCATTTAATTTTCAATAAAGCTCTATGAGACAGGTATTGTTCTTCCATTTAATTCCTCTCTTCCACTTTCTTAGTGAGCATTATTATTTAAATATCTAAGTAACTTACCTAGTTTTAAGAACATCTAATATCAAGAATCAAAACTAGTCTAATAAAATAGGAAATATTTACTAAATTTCTCCATTAAAATGTTGGTTTATTATCTAGTAAAATCATTTTATGCTAAAACAGTAAAGAAAAATACATTATGTATTGAATATCTACAAACCCACGATCAGTAAAAACACTATTACCCCTATCCCCAAAACTAAATTGCTACTAATAGAAGATCTTGAGCAATTACCTCTACATCTTCCCTGATTTTTCCCATCCATACTAAATAAAAGAACCCATTAGCTAGGCATGGTAGTGCACACCTCTATTCCCAGGACTTGGGAGGCTGAGGCAGGAGGATCACAAGTTCAAGGCCAATTTGGACTATATAGTGAGCTCAAGGCCAGCCTGAACTATACAGTGACACCTTGTTTCAAAAAAAAAAAAAAAAAACCAGAAGAAAAAACAAAACCAAAAGCTATTCTATGTCACAGACAGGATACCTTTAGTACACAGTCACCATCTACAGCCACAGGTTCCTCACTCGTGGATTTAACCAAGCACGTATGGAAAATACATGAAAAAATGGATCTGTGCTAAGTATACACAGATTTTTTCTTGTCATTACTTCCTAAACAATAAAGTATAGCAACTATTTGTGCAGCATTTACATTGTATTAGATATTACAAGTAACTACTGATGATTCAAAGTATATGGGAGGATTGCAGAAGGTATGTTCAAACACCATGTCATAAAGGACTTGAGCAGATTTTGGTATCAACAGTAATCCTGAAACCGATTCTCTAAGGATACATAAGGACAAGGAAAAACAGATTCTAATCACATTTAAATCATGTAAAATGGTACCCGTTTACATATTCATTATCTTAGATTTGTCTAACAGATTAAAGAAAATACAACTTCATGTTCCAAAGCACAGTATAAATTTAATACTATGACAGTCTAAGTAAATATATAACTTTAAAATACTTAACAAATCCACATTTACCTCTGACATAGAAAGTGACTGCAACGTACCAATATGTGCATACAGTGAACAGAAATAATTCCTATAAACACAAGGCTGATTGGCCCAAGCTGTGAAGAATAAAATTTATATATTAAGTATTAAAGTTTTTTTAAAAAATTAGCAGCTACATAATCAATGAGTCTATATACTATTTATTTACAGTAAAAATAATTTGTTGAACGAAATGATTAAATGGTCATGAGCATAAAGAAAAATTAATAAACTTGATATAGCAACTATTTCAGGCAGTGTTTAAGACAACCAGGTATGATTCTATCTTATCAACTTGGTTACTTAAACCTAGGTTAAATATTACAAACATGTAATTAAGACATGTAATTAAGTAGAAATGAAAATAGTCATTCTCATGCTTTGCTATACTAGAATACTGGTCTACCAGAATAGGAGATATTTTATAAGGTTTCACATGATTTTATCACTACAACAGGTAATTGATGGTCTAAATGTCACCTGACCAGGTTATAGCTGAAGAGGGTAGATGTTGGCCTATAGTAATTCTTGCTGACAATCATGTCTTAAGTGGAGTTTACAAAGATAAATCTTACCACTATGCCTGCATTTCTGATTGCCAATGGAAGTCCTAACAAGCCGGTTCCAATATTGCCCTTAAGAAGATGCATAAGAGTTTGTACAAATCTGAAATGTAAAATTTGTAAGATTTAAACATTTTATTTAGACTACGATTTTACAATTAGAAGGGAACTGAAAATCACTGTAGGCAACAAACTAAATAACATTTCCATTCTCTCATTAAGCTTTGTTTAAGTTGTATCTTTGCTACTTAAAAGGGGTACAAGTATTGTGGAGATTAAGATATTTAAGTGGAAGTACTTCTTCACACAGCAGTAATTTAATAAGAAGAAAGAAAGAGAGAGGATCTTGTAAGTTCCCTAAGGAATTAACCTAAGAATAGTTTCTAGAAAGCAACTGGAAGAGGCCTCTTGACCAGGACAAAGTAAATTAAAATTAGGCAAATGAAAACAAAATTTAAACTCGGGGAAAAAATTTGCTAAGGTTTTTCTTCCATGTATAATTTTTATTTCTCGGATCTATTACTTTGCTTAATTATTAATTACTGCTAGAATAAGAACTTACAAATAAAGGCAAAATTTTAAAATGTTTAAATATTCCACTGCTTTCCTATCACTGTTTTCTTCCTGTTTACTGCATATCAAGTGTCTAGTTCCTAACCATTTCAGAAGCCAGTTCTCTTCACATTCCTGTTCCTCTCAAGCTGATCTTACTTCTTTCAGGATCCACAGCAATTAATATATAATACCACTGTAGTAGTTCCTATACAATGCTTTCTAATGTAAAAAATGTATTTCTTCCATGCAAGTAAACTATAAACTCTCTGAAGGCAGAGAGTATTTCTTATTCATCTTTGTATTTCGTGAAGTATCTCATAAAATACCTTACCTGTAGATTATAAGATATATACTGAACGAAAAGAAAACAAACATAAATCTCAACACTTACGAAATACCCTCTTGGTGATTAAGTTGGTAATGTTTCTGAACGGGCAGGAGCTCTGTCTCATGTTCTTCATCTGATGTCCCATCAACATTCTGCTCATTTATCAGGGGCCTCATTACATCCATATCTTTAAAAAAGAACAACAAAGTACTTTAATATTGCTTCTAAAATCAGGATAAAGCTGTATAAATGAATTTATTTTACAGGAAATGCCAGTTTATTTATCTTTGCTATTTCTACTCTGAGTAATTTACTTATCTATCTTAACTCCTGTTGTTATGCAAGGACAGGCTAAATACAAGAAAATACCCTTCTAGGTTAAGAGTTAATTCAAGCAGCTAGTTAAGCTTAGAAATGTAAAAGAAAATACAAGAACAAAGGGTAGAAGTTAAAATAAGGAGAGATAAGGACTTTTCCTCTCAGGAAGACAGTATGCTAGGTTAGCTGACTAGTAATGCAGATTAACCAGTTTTCTTTGAAAGATTTAGTTTCCTGTAAACAAGCTTATAACTAATTTCCTTTAAACCCAAAATCCAAATAGGCACCCGTTTAAAACAAGTCCCCAAGTTCTATCTATAAGTTCAAAATGAAAACACATGGGCATTTTTCACTTCCAGAAACCCTTCACAAACGTCACCCACCAGGAGCTTTTCTTCCTTATTTTCAATAAACACTGCCCTGGTTCCCTCCTTTTGTCTGTGATTATATTCTTCAGTTTGATGAGACAATGACCATGAGATTATACAAAACTAACTTCCTTAATGGTATACTTAAGAAAGAACAACTAGACTTATTTGCTGGATATTCCGTTTAGGTTATGCAGTACAAAACAAAAAGGTTAGGTACTCAATGAAAACTCTTTCAGATAGGTCCACATAAGGCTTATAGTAAATAATCAAAGAATTATAGCATGAGAAATATCAAGAAATAGTCGAATATATTTTTATCTCCAGTTAGCTTCACATCCTTTTAAGATAATTATATTTTTAATATGTCAAGATAATTATAAAGCTATTCCAATGTTTAAAATTTTAGTATCAAAATGTACTATTCTACCTAACAACTTCTTCATATAAATATTAAAATTCATTAAATTATCAAAAGTTCCCAAATTAATGAGGATTTTCTATAGTTTAAATTTCTCAACTTTTGCCTTTGGGTGTTTTGTCTAAAGTTTTCATCCTCAGAATATTTTACACAGATTATTTAATAGTCTTTGTTTCTTGTTCTTTGGTATCAGATGGCATAACCTAAACTGGTACACAGTGAAAACTGTTTGCCCATAATGCATCTTGGGGACATTTACTATCTCACAGTTACTTTATCAGCTTATTAAACTATGACCATCTTTTGTTTGAATAGATGCAATGTCCCTTTCTCTTGTACTCTGTACAAAGTAAGTTGATACTACATGTTGAAAACTATCATACCATATCATCTTGCTTTAGTTTGCATACAAAAGTACTAAAAAATGGATGGCTTAAATAACAAATGTATTATCTCAAAGTTCTCATGGCTTACAGTCTGAAACCATGTATTTGGGAGGGTTGGTTCCTTCTGAGGGCTGGGAGAAATGCTCTGTTCAAGCCTTTATCCTCCCTTAGAGTAGGCCATTTTCATGTTCATTCAGATTTCCACATGTAAGACAGGTGGGCTATCCATTATTGCTAAAAAGCTTACACTGTTTAGCAACTGTCTAACAGTATAATCCCCTTTGGTTACACTTTTCCCTAGTTCCTAAATTCATTCTTTTTCTCAATGTTATATTGTACAGGAAACATAAAACATAATTACTGTGAAAAATATTTTTTCACACATACATATTTATTTGCTTTAAATCCACCTTTTTATCCCCTACATTTAAAAATCTTAATAACATAATTATCCCAGAAGTTTCTTTAACAAACTTTCTGACAATGAGATTATAGAGTTGATTTAAAAAACTGAAAGTAGACACACACGCCTTTGGCAGGCAGACTGACTGGAACCCATGAGACCCAGGACAGCCAGTGAGGGGTGCAGAGTAATCAGCGAGACCAGCAACGTAGAAGGGTCTGAAGCAGCAGCGAGGAGCCAGCAGATGGGCTCTGGAGAGCTCCACCAACAGACCAGTCCCAGCTCCACATCCAGAGGCCAAGATCGGCTCCGTACCCAGCACGATTCCCATGGCAAACTTGGCTGTAGTACACAGCACATTTCTGGAATCTGAAATGGACACCATCACAGAACTGTAAACACCAGAGGTATTTTACTACTTTTATTCTCCCTTGGTCTGACTGGCTATCTGTTTGCTGTCTGGCTGGAAGTCATCTTGTTTTCTCTTGTATTTTGTGGTTGTATTTGTTTTTCAATCATTTTTTTTCTTTTCTCATGTCTCTTTTCTCTTTTTCTCGGGTTTATTTTTTTTTTCTTTCTTTTCTTATTTTCTTCCTTTATTTTCTGTTCTCTTCTTTCTTGCTTCTTTTTTTCACTGTTTAGGTTTCTTACCTATCTGGTTCATTTTTTTCTACTGATCCTCTTTCCTTGACTGCCTCTTGAATTTAAACTTTCCAGTGAGTAATCATTGTCTTTTCCCTTTCTGATTACTCCTTTGCATTCTACTCTTCATTCTTTCCTGCCTGTGTCCTCCAGTTTCCCAAGATTCAGGTGATCGTCCTTTGACCTCCAGCCTTGACTCTACTATACTTGACCTCATTCATCACTTTATCCTGTTCCCTACACATCTTAACTCCCCTCCCCCTGCCCTCTGCAAAAGGGTAAAATCACTCTACTAAAGGGAAAATCACTGTACACAACTCCAGGGTATATGTTTGACTTTGCCATATAACTTTAGAGTTTGCTCCTGTGGTTGGAGGCAGCACGTTAATGGTTACCATAGTTTGTCAGTAGTTAAACTGTAATTGAAACTACTGTTACTACTAACTGTACTAATTTAGCCAGGACATACATGTTATAACCAGTTTTTCTCCTCTGTATGATAACACTCTGATTATATGAGGTCATTATCACCACCACAGCCCAATACAAAGGATTAAGTGCTGAGCCAAATAGTGCATTTGCATCCTTTATGAATTGGGAAGGTAGGTTCTTGGTATACCTATAAGCAACCACTTACATCTAGAGGACATCCCTGAAGAGCAGACATCCCCTAGGGAAGCCTCAATACTAATGATAAAACTATCAAAAGGAATTGGAAAGCATCAACATAGAAAACAAAATAAAATAAAAAAGAGAAAATAAAAAATGACAAAACACAGAAGCAAAATGCAATCCCAGACCACCAGCCCACACAGGACAAGCCCAGAACACAATGAGATAGACAAATTGGAAGTCAAACACTGAAACTTTCTGAAATGGTAGCAACAGAAGTGAAAAAACATAGGAAACAAATGGAATCCATGAAACATATCTAAACAGAAATCCAAGAGTTCAAAACCTCCACTGAAAGTATACACAACAGACTGAACAAAGCAGAGAATAGAATATCAGATCTTCAAGACAGAATTGCAGCTAGTAATCATGATAAGAAAGATGTCTTAAAAGTAGTAAGAGACCATGAAAAATCAATCCAACAGCTAGAATATGAAGCAAAGAACAATATAAGATTGACTGGAATCAATGAAAAAGCTGGATACAGCAAAAATAAAAAATTTTTTTAAAAACTCTTCAAAGAAACAATGGCAGAAAACTTCCCAAGCATGGATAACAAATTTGATATACAAATAAATGAAGTATATAGAACACCAAACAGCCATGACCAAAATAACTACACCATGACATATAATAATCAAGATTCCAGAAATTCAGCACCAGAACAGAATATTAAAAGCTGTTAGAGAAAAGAAAACAGATCACCTTTAAAGGAAAGTCCATCAGAATTACAGCAGACTTCCAAATACAAACCCTCAGGTCAAGAACAGCTTAGAGTGACGTATTTCAAGTCCTGAAAGAAAACAATTTTCAACCCAGATTGACGTACCCTGAGAAACTATCTTCCAAAATTAATGGTGAAATAAGATACTTCCACGACAAAGAACAACTGAAGAAATTCATGACCACTAAACCAACCATATAAAGAGTACTGAAAGATATTCTAGGCACAGATAAAATGACCACAGTTCAAAGAACAACAACAGAAAGAAACCATCAGGTAGAGCAAGCAATTAAACACAGGGGAAAAGTAGGGAACCAACAGCAGGAAAATATCATGACAAAGATAAGCCAATACATATCAGTTATAATCATCAATGTAAATGGCCTCAATTCACCAATCAAAAGAAACAGACTGGCAGAAACAAGATCCAACAATATACTGTATACAAGAAACACATTTAACTCAAACTCATAGACTGAAAATCAAAGGATATGCAGAAAGAATAATCTGCAGAAAAGAATCTTCCACTCAACAGGAACCCAGAAAAAAGCAGGGGTAACTACTCTATCTGCAGACAATGTGAACTTGAAATCAAGAATGATCAAAAGAGATAAAGAAGATCACTACATACTTGTTACAAAAAAACTTCAAGAGCAACAGATAACTATCATAAATATCGATGCACCAAATATGGGAATATAAAACCATTATTAATAGACATGAAAATTCAAATAAGCAATAACACAATTGTAGCAGGAGACCTTAATACCCCATTGTCACAAAGGGACAGAACAAGTAGACAAAAAATCAGCAAAGAAATATCAGAACTGAACCAAATCTGCAACCAAATGGACTTAGTAGATGTTTCTCAAATGTTGCACCCAACATTACCAGACTACAGTCTTCTGAGCTGCACATGGGGCATCCTCTAAAACAGACCATTTACCAGACCACTGAGTATGCTTAAGTAAATGCAAAGGAATTGAAATTAAACCATGCACATTACCTGACTGCTATGGTTGATACATTGTGTCAACTTGAGGGGTCTAGCAGCTTAGTTAAGTACCTCAGCAGTTCTCCATCCTGGGGTGAAAAGGACAAGCCCTTATAGCTCTGGGATGTTGTTCATTGTATCAATTACAGAAGTTTAAAGTTCAACTGAGCCATTTAGCAGGGGGCCAGGGTCCTCACTTTGTAAACACCTTCAGATTGTGCAAGAGGAGGGCATGGAGATGATGTGGGTATGGGCAAAT